CCCCCCCCAGCCGCAGATGCGGCGGTTATTGGCAGTGTACCACCACGGGAACTTCCTGACGATCTGCGAAAATGTTTGGAGGTTATTGAAGGGGGGATTCTAGAGGGACATGCGAGGCTTGCCGATGGTCTGCGCAAACGGTACGAGGACCAGTATCCTCTCGTGAGATCACTCGCAGACGTTTTTATTACCAATGTGAGCATTTGGTCGTGTCCGAGATTTAAACTCTTTTGAACCAATTTGTGGCAGTCTCACATTCTCACCGGTTATGCTACTTATGTTCTCCATCTAGAGCGGGCGCTCGAGCAGGTTGACAACGCCCTCTCTACCGCCAGTGCAAATAAAAAACCGAAAAATAAAGACGCAGATCAATGGCTGAGGATTTGCCAGACTCTGCAAAGATTAGAATTCGTCGCATCGGATAGGGGCGAAACTGGACTGGCCATCTCACTTTCGAAGCCGTTCCAAAGACTGCTCAAATACCCACTCCTCTTTCAGAACCTGCTTTACCACACAGACCCGAGCACCTTTGAGTATGAAAGTACCCTTCACATGGTTTCGGATGTAGAATCTATCGTGCGCAGCATCGAGGACGAGAAGATTCAGAAGGAGGAGCGTGACAAGACTAGGGATGTCTTCGCGAGAATAGAGGGCTTAGATAAAGTCAAGCAGCTCATGGTCCCCAAACCTTCGAGAGTACTCGTAGAGGAGAGACCAGTGATGGGTGTCAACCCTCTACAGGACGCCAATGGTAAACCGCCCTCGGCATCTTCACCCACCCCGCCAGGTGCGAAGGGTGTGAAGGGCAAGACGTCGCTCAAGCGGTTAAGTGACGTCCTCCAATCAAATGGAGGTATAGGCGGCAAGAAGGATCAATGGCTGGTCGTCTTCAATGACGTCGTGCTACGATGCCAGCGGACAGGGACGACGTCACTGCCCTTAGTGTCTGGTGCAAGTTCCAGGACCAATTCTTTGCCAGAATTGCAAGGTAAATCCAAATATGCCACGACTGGCCGTCGAACGTCGCATACCAGGCCTCGTAATTTGTACAAGTTCCTTAAGGTCAGTACTCATCGCATTCCAGATGTCATCTAGCTAGAATTGCGATGCTGATGACCCGTTCAGATTGAGACATGGGCTATTGGAGACGTCATGAAACCTCGCGAGGGCGTCGTCTCTATGGAAGAGTAAGTGACTTCTGTCTCACCTAGGATCAAGTCTCAACGGTTCGTACAGTGTTGTTCGGTCAAGACAACAAGCGACAACTGGTGCGCAGCCCCGGATCGTTCCCCTTCCCGACGACGATGAGGAAGGTGGCGGCGACTCGGACGACTCAGATAGGAAGAGCAAGATGAGCTTTTCTTACTGGGGAGCGGACAAGGTCACAATTCAGAAGCCCATTAACAAGAAACAACTCATTGCGAACGCGTCTCGACGAGGTTTCGGCGGCGCACCAACATCCTACGGTCGGGAGTCGTCAGCCAACGCCAAGTTCGGCACCCGTCTCATCGCTGGAGAACCGCCAAGTGGCGTCCGTCCTGCTAGCCGGCGAACACAGGCCACCCCGACTAGTCGACGAACACCTCATTCGGAAGAAGGTCACTCTGTTAAAGCCACCATTACCAGAGACAGACCAGCCTGGGTCGGTAGCACTCGTGCAGCGGGGGCCGTTTCTACTACGCCCATACCTAAACGTCCAAGGAACATTTCGCAAACCAGTGTGGCGACGCGGACGACTTCAAACGCCAAGCAATTGTCTTCACCTGCTCCTTCAGAGGATTCGGGCGTGGGCTTGTACCGTCAGATCATTGCGCAGAATCCTTCTCTCAATGCCCTCAACGCGAATGCATAGAGTATTGTGGACCATTTTGCTTGTCGACGCCTATTTTTACGTTTCTAATGTCTCTAAGGATCATATATACGACCATTCTGCCATTATCTCTATGGCTTGCACATGTTCTCTGTCTATCTTCGCTATGATGTTTCTTATCCATCCATTCTCCCTCCACATTGTCATTGAGTACCCACAGTTGATGATACCGTATCGCTCATTATTGGTCATGCGTTTCCTAATAATCTGATCACCCTCGTTGTGCTATCCATTTTCATATCTCCTAGCCGAGCACCCGCCCCTCGTTTATTCCCTTGCGTGCATCATATCCCTCTGATTCAGGACGGTCTCCGGGCGTTGTGAAGACACTTATCGTTCTGTCCAATTGTCGTCTATTTCTTTTGGCGTAGATATCACCACCACCACCCTCATGTATTACATTTGCTGCTAACTTGATTGATACGCCGCGTTGTGTATGCTCACGCTCCGCCCGCTCGGATCTGACGAACACCCCCAGTCTCCGCGCGGTATCCACCTGCAGGACGGATAGGTGAGTCTGGGCCAATCAGCACGTAAGCGTGGCGACGGGGTACGTACCTCACAGCTGTCTTCGCAGCAGCCTCCAGCGGGAAAAGTCCTGTAAGATGGCGGTCTAGACGAGTGCCCCACGCTAAGTGCAGCACTAAGAACGCACCGTCGAATATCTCGCGGATAAAGTACGCTTCTTTCGTATCAGGCGTGCTCACCGGCCATCGTTCTGCGCGCAGCTCGAACGCTTCGTCGGAGACGACTGCTTCTGCATGATCTTTCATCCTGCGTAGGGCAAGGCTCAGAAGACGCGGAGGACGCGGAAGAAATGGCACGGGGGCTTACCCGTCTATCCAAGAGTATCCCACACCGTCGGAGAATTGCTCTTTCTGTCGCCAGAGGATCGAACGGGGAAGATAGGGCTGGGCACAGTGCTTTGTGAGCGGTAATAACATGGGCGCAGTGGGGTCTGACAGACCTTTCCGTCTGGCGCGCAGTCGAACGCTTTTCGTAAGATGTACTAATGTGAAGCGTCATTAAGTTGGCTTGGCGCGGCGGGAAAGTACTAGGGTACCTTCTCCATTTTCGGGCAGCCATCCTCATCCGTTTCCCGTGCTTCACCAGTGTTGAAAGTCTTCTCTTTGGGGTCGACGTTCATCGCAACCTCGAGAAAGTTCTTGTCTAAAAATGGTACACGCGCCTCAAGGCCCCAAGCCATTGTCGACCTGAAATGAATCCCGTTTGAATGTCCATAAGACAGAGTTTAATCGAGCAGACTGACTTGTTGGCCCGCAGGCAGTCTGCCGTGTGCAGGTTCTTGACTCGCCGCACGCACTCCTGGTGGAAGGACACGGGATCAGGTGCCGCGTGGAAGTAAAGATATCCTGGACGAAGAAATGCGTGTGGGGTAAGCAGGTTGGGAACGAGCAGACAATCGTACCACCAAAAATCTCGTCACTGCCCTCACCACTCAGGACCATCTTCACACCCATAGCCTTGATTTTCCGGCTGAGCAGATACATAGGTGTGCTCGCGCGAACGGTCGTCACGTCGAACGTCTCTAGGTGATAGATAACGTCCGGGATGGCGTCGAGGCCCTCCTGGACGGTGAACACGTACTCATGATGCACCGTCCCCAGGTAATGTGCTGCCTTGCGCGCAGCCAGAAGATCTGGCGAGTTCTCAAGGCCTATGGAGAAGGAATGCAACTGCGGCCACGACGCGATCGTTGCTAGTATACGTCGTGGTCAGCTTCCCCGTGCACACGGCGACATGCAAGACGTGTGCACACCGTACTCGGATGCACCGATGCCAATGGGCGACGGCGGGCCGCTGTTCAGCTCCGCGAGCCTCCTGCTGCGCCGCTCTGCCTGCGCCTGCGCGACTTTCTCGGTCTCTCGCGCCGCGATCGCGGCAATTAGGCTGCTGTCGAGACCGCCGCTCAGCAGGACGCCATACGGTACCTCCGACATGAGTCGTTTGCGCACGGCCTCTTCTAGAGCTTCGCGGAGGTGCGTGAGGTTGGCTGGAGCGGTCGGGGCCACCGCGTTGGGGCCCTCGAGATCGCCATCCCACCATGAGGGCTGGTAGTAGCGCGTTGTGGATTTATCACGACTGTCATATACATGCCCAGGCGGGAAGGAAATGATATCGTCGCATTCGTCGACAAGAGCTTTGAGCTCCGAGGCGAAGAACGTCGCGCCAGGTCGCTTAGAAGACCAGCCCTGGTAAAGGGTGGTGATGCCGATCGGATCGCGTGCTGCGAGTATGCGCGGAGGAGAGACGGATTCGTCTAGAAGGACGAATGAGAACATGCCGTCGAGAAGGTTGCAGAGGCTGGTGCCATGCTCCCTGTACTGTGAGTATATGCATAAAGGTGAGATCATACATTGGGTAGACGAAAGGATGGAGCCGCTCACGAGTGGGATGATGACCTCGCAATCTGAGTGAGTCTTAAACTGATACGGCTGTTTGAGGCCTGCACGCAGCTTGATATGGTTGTAGATCTCGCCGTTCACGGCGAGGATGATCTTGCCATCGGTACTCACGAGGGGCTGGGCACCGGTATCTGGGTGGGATTGTCATGAGTTTTGGTTAATGTTTCGAGCATATATGCGCACCGACGCCGACTATGGCGAGTCGTTCATGGGCAAGGATGGTCTCTTTTCCGCAATAACATCCCGACCAGTCCGGGCCTCGGTGGCGGATCTTCTTAGCGCACGCGATGACACGGGGTCTGTCTAGCGCAGGCTTGTCGATGCCGTGTGCGATGACGATGCCGCACATCGTTCACGGGCTGCACAGTAGTTTGGCGATGGAGAAGGAGAGGAACGAGGAGAGGACAAAATGTCCGCGCATTCGAGTCAACTTCAATCCGGTGACTCGGACAATATGGGCGCCTATATCATACTAGCCATGATTAGATAACGCAGGATCGCCGCGGGGATTCGATCATTCCCCAGCCTTGCGCGAGCTGCCCCTCAACTTCGATATTTGACGATGATGGACTGGCCTATTGAACTAGTATCTGCTGTCTTCACACAAAACTATAACAGAGCTTCATGCAATCCAGTCTTGTTAAAATACATCGTAAAACCTCGTTTCTTACGATTCCTTACCCCCAGAGGTGCGCTGCCTGGGGGTTTCCAAAGTATCTGTCTCCCTTGACCTCGTACGTGCTAATAATATTTAAAATCTCGGCACGGTCTGTCTCCGTGAGTTCCACGTCTCCCCCCGCGAGATTTTCCAGTGTGCGTGTCTTGTGCCTATATTCAACCTCAGCACAACATTCATGGAGCACATTGCGGAAAAGCCATACGAGGATCCGGGCAGGGGAATGACGTGCGCCCCGAGCGAGCCTACCCATGCGATGCAGAGCTGCGCGGGGGTAATCTGTTTCTTCTCCGCGAGGGCTTTAATAGCATCTACAAAGACGAGATTCTGTTTGAAGTTCTGTGTATTTGGGTGTCAGCGCCACGATCCATGCTAGCCGTGTCATGAACATCCACCTCCTCTGCGAATCGAGTAAATCTCCGCCGCGCGTCGTTCTCTGCGTTTGAAAGGGTCAACAAATCGCGTACAAGTACAGGTGATGCGCCAGACCTGTGAGGTCATCCAGACTCTTGATGGTGCCCGTCAAGAAGCCCCGTCCAAGCGGGCTGTAAGGCAATCAGACACACCGAAGGCGCAGCCACAAAGAGAGACATACGAGTATGCGATGACCGAGATCCCGAGCTCTCCCGCGGTGGCAATGACTAGGTCACATTCTGTGAGTGGACTTCTGCTCGCCCATGCCGCTCACACGTACCCTTCTTCGTCTCTTCCTCGTACGACCAGGGACTCACCTCAATTTCCACAGCCGTAATCGGGTGAACCTGCAGAACGTCAGCCGTCAGCCGACCTCGGTATAGCCCCATCGGCGCCCACCGCGTGCGCCCTCCTCAACGTCGCCGCGCTGCACTCTGACATGCCAATGTGGTCGAGCTTGCCCTCCTTGATGAACTCCGCGAGGACCTTGATGGTCTCCTCGATGGGCACCTTCTTGTCGACGCGGGCACACTGGAACAGGTCGAGGCGCTTCGTTCCGCGGAGGGCGGCGTTGATGGTGTCCACGCTGCGTCGCAGGTTCTCTGGGCTGGAGGGGGTGTCGGCGATCATGCGGGGAGCCTCCGGTTAGAATCTAGCAAGCCACTCACGACGAGTCAGGCTCAAGCGCGCGGGCCTTCAGGCCGCCCTATATGAAGACCAACGTCAATCTCAGGGCACGAGTCCGAATGGATGCATAGACCGCAGACCTTGACGGAGATGAACGTCCTGTCGACATACTCAGGGTATTTATCGAAGAAGCGCGCGACGAGCTCCAAGTTGCCGGTGGAAAACTCGGGACCGTAGAATTCCCCTGTAAAACAGAGCAGGGTGACTCGCTGCTTTTCTGTGTCTTTCGTGCGCTGCTTACCGCTATTGAGGAACATCTTCACGCCTGGGGGGAGCGCGTCGATGCCGGCCTTGATTGCCTCGAAGCATTCCTCGTCGGGCGCAGGGGAGCTCCTCCCCCTCCATCTGTGGATGACCCCTGTCGCATGCAGATCCCTACAAGGAGTGGGGGCCAAAATACGTACGTCATCATCATGAGGCCGTGCTACGCCATACATACATATATATATTGTATCAATGGGCAAATCGCGCAAAGGTTGGGGGCTAGTACTCACGGCAACCTTAGCCACGGTGACAGTGGACGCCGTGCCTCCAAGCTTTGCGGTGTTTTGCACCATTTCTCGTTGTGGAACTGTAGCAGTGAGTGAGGAATGCGCCCCAACTCCAGCCAGGTTTATATAAGAGACGATTATCAAGAAGATGATGCGACTCCAGACGGCCCTGCAGCAGATCGATCACTGCGATCTGTGCCCCGCCCACAGCAACTCCGAGCTGCAGGGTGCAAGCGACGCAAGTTGACGTCTTCTAGTGACAAATCCAGACTCCCATGCCGAACGCCAACGTCACCGTACAGACCAGCTGGCCTGCCCCGGCTGTACCAGACACAATAATAACCCAAAGTATGCTTCCAACACGGACTGTACCAGACACAATAATAACCCAAAGTATGCTTCCAACACGGACTGTACCAGACACATGAATAATCCCAAGTCTGATTCCAACACGGACTGTCCGTGAGATAAGTAACTGTTACACTGAACGAGATGCCGGGGGACGCGCGGTCAACCCCAGAGGTGGGCGGCAGCATCGTTCCCGAAGTAACGATCGCCCTTGATCTCATGATCGGCTATGATCTTGGCGAGCTCTGCCTTGTCCGCCTCGCTCAGCTCAACGTCCCCTCCCGACAAATTCTCTAGCGTCCGCTTCTTCACCCTGCAACGCAGTCGTCAGTGTGAATACCCTGAAAGGAAAAAATTGCCCGTACGAAGAACCCGGGAGGGGGATAACGTGGGCGCCGAGCGAGCCCACCCAGGCAATCGCGAGCTGGGCTGGGCTAATGTTTTTTTTGGCGGCAAGGACTTTGATGGCGTCCACAATAGCCATGTTATGCTTGAAGTACTGTTGCGGTGGAGATATCAGCTGTAGTGCCACCTGGTAGGCTATTTACTCACATCTTCCTTGAAACGAGTTAGGTGGCGACGTATGTCGTTCTCTGTGGGGCTCCGTATGAGGATAGAGCCATCAGCGAGAGGGAGACGACTAGCCAGGGATATCGTCGATGCTCTTGATAGAGCCGGTCAGAAAACCCTTTCCGAGGGGACTGCACGTGAATATAATCGGCATCAGTTTCGGCGGTGGGCGATTGTGCTACTTACGAATAAGCCGCGACGGCAATACCAAGCTCTTGAGCGGTGGCGATGACTGGCGAAGCGGGATGCAGTATTAGCGATGCCCATGACTGACCGGCGATGCGAGAGACACACCCTTTTTGGTCTCGCTCTCGTAAGACCAAAGACTGACTTCGATCTCGACAATAGCGATCGGATGAACCTGTGTGAGATTCTGTTGGCATTATCACGGACCGGTGGGCTGAGGATACTGACCGCATGCCCGCGCCTGAGGGTCTCGGCTGCGCATTCTGACATGCCGATGTGGCTGAACTTGCCCTCGTTCTTGAGACCTACGAGGATCTTGATGACCTCTTCGACGGGGTACTTGGGGTCGACGCGCGCACATTCAAAGAGGTCGAGCTTCTTGGTACCGCGTAGAGCGGCATTGATGGCGTCGACGCTGCGTCTCAAATTCTCCGGGCTGTGAGGACAACTTGGGGTGAGTCCCCGCGCGGAGCGAGGTACGCCAAGAACACTGACGATGAATCAAGACCGAGGCTGTTTGCGGGTGCACCGCCCTGCAGAGAGGGGTCAGCGGGGCATGGGTGTGGAGAGAAACGGCGGCTGACCTTGACGGAGAGGAAGGTCCTTTCAGCGTAGTCCGGGTATTTATCAAAGAACCTGGCGAGGAGCTGCAAGTTGGCGGTGGTGAAGTCCCAGGAGTAGAACTCGCCTTGGGGTGCGGAGCGGACAAGTGAGTGCGCGGACGACAGGAGATCGGGGAGCAAAACTGACCGCTGTTGAGGAGCATTTTAGAGCCAGGGGGCAAGGCGTCGACGCCGGCTTTGATGGCCTCGAATGCGTCCTCATCGGGGAGAGGGTACTTGGGATCTCTCCACCTGCGAGACGATGAGAAACAGAGACGCGGTAGATCTTATCGGACGAACGTCATCATCATGAGGCCATGCTGCCGCGAATGGAGTCAGAGACGGGTGATATGTCCAAGATTAGTGGGGGGGGG